TTTTTTCTGTTCAAGAAGCCAAGCCCAGATGATCTACTTCTGAAATAGGTCAATGTGTCCCTAGTCTCTTCTAGTCCATAACAGCTCCCCCGTCTTTCCTTACCTTTCATGTTCTTAACACTTTATTGCTCTTTTATCTTTGCCATTATAAGAGGTAATAAAGGATTTCTTCTTATTGTTTTAACTGTATTCTTTAATTACAAATAAGACTGAATATCACATCATGTGTTTATTAAAAGTAATGGCCTCATATGCATGCAAGAGCTGGACAATGAATATGGAAGACCAAAGAAGAATTTATGTCTTTGAGTGATGAAGTTGGTGATTAATATTGAAAATCCCATGAACTGTCAGAAGAACAAAAAAAAATCTATCTTAGAATATGCCAGAATGCTCCTTAGAGGTGAGGATGGTGAGACTTTGCCTCATACTTTGGGCACATTATCAGGAGGAACCAGGCCCTGGAAAAGGACACGATGCTTAGTGAGGTGGAGGATGAGTCAAGAAGAGGACTATCCTCAGAGAGATGCTGCAACAATGGGTTCAAACAACGACTGTGAGAATAACGCACTACAGGGCAGTGTACCTTGGGTCACTCAGTCAGGATGCACTCAACCACACCTAAAAACACCAGTAGTAGGTCTACTGTACAATGCCAGCTCAAGCCCATCTTCCTATAGGGTTTTTGACCCTTTTCTTATGCATCTGTAGGGGCTCTTTTAAAATTCTGCTTTGTAAACTTTTCCAATTTATCCTTTTATTTTAATCTGTTATACTTTAACCAGGCATTTAAATTTTTATATATCCATGATTTCATGTTAATCTTTTGAAATACTGCAGAAAGCATGACTGTTCAAGAAATGGGTTTTCTGCTATAATTTTCTGGCTAGCAGAATGTTAACCAGAAAAAATATTTTTATTTCCAACCTTACTATGGAAAAATCTTGTCAACAGAGTAGGTAGAGTTTAAATCACCCAATTGGAGACCCTTTAAAAATGACTTTCAATGCTATAATCTGTCTGACTTGTGATTTCAAATATTAATTTATGTAAAAAACATTTCATATGGTGTTTACTGTGTGCCAGGCATTACTCTTATTCACAAAATGTCTTATGTGCAATACTTATCAATACAGTTTTGTTGATAGAGCAATTAAACTCTGTTTCTGATGAGAAGACATTTGAGATATGCAACAAGCAAGTCTGTACTTCAATTTTTTTAAAAGCCCAAAATGACCAAAATTGATATTAACTTATAACAAAGTAAAATGTTAAACTAAGCAAAGAAATCAAGACTCAGTTCATGCTGCCAATACTCAATGCTGCCAGGTGTGTATAGCATGCTCCCCACTTGATTAGAGAAGCATGAGAAAGAAGGAAGGAGGAAAAATGCATCCTGGGAAGATATACTCCTAAAAAGTATTCATTAACTGTGAATGGCCAACAATAACTGGGTTTTTTCCCGCTTTGTAGTTTTATCAATTTTCCAATTTTTCTACAATATATTGTGTAAAAAGAAAAATACTCATTAATCTAATAATAAATGCTACTGATTAAAACTGTGTATCCACAGAACAAAATACTTGATCATCTCACTCCATAATATAATAAATTCCAAAAAAGATGAAAGAGTACATTTAAAATATTTTTAAACTAAAAGGAAATCGTATACGTATTCCAAAGAAGAGAGGAACCGATTCCATGATTATAGATATAAGAGGTGTTTCAATTACCAAGTAGTCAGGTTTGATACTATTACAGTCTAAGTGCTCCATAAGTCACTGCCATCCACACTATTACAACTCAGAGTGACCCTGTAGGGTTTCTGATGCTAAAAATCTTAACGAGAGCAGTCTCTTCTGCTGAGCACCTGGTGGATTTGAACTGCTAGCCTGTGGTTAGTAGTCTAATACCTATCCGAGAATTACCAGCAATGCCCAATGCTGCATAAAACCAAACCAAACTTGCTGCCATCAAGTTGATTCCCACTCATAGTGACCATATAAGTCAGAGTAGTACTGCCCTTGTTGGATTCTGAAGCTGTACATTTTTACTGGAGCAGAAAGCCTCTTCTTTCTCTAATGGTGGGTTTGAACAGCCAACCTTGTGGTTAGCAGCCCAATTTGTAATCCACATGCCTCCAGAGCTCTTTAAATGCTGCATACAAGTAGGGGGTGTGGGGAGCAAATGAAAGTAACAAAGTAAAAGGAAATTAACAGTTACTATTATCAATTCATGTTTTCTCTCTAAAATATTGAGGTAACTTGGAAAAATCCATCATGGTAACACTCTCCACCACTGTGCCACCCTCACCCAAGAGGATATGACAGCACTCACTCACACAACAAAACTGGGGAAACATCTTACAACAACTGTGATTTTACTGACATCCACATTTAATGTAGTTGAAGGGAGACAGCGGACAGTGTATGATGGGGGGAGTGCGGAGTGGAGATCCAAAGCCCATTAGTAGGCCACTGGAGATCCCCTTGCAGAAGGGTCTCGGGGAGGAGACGAGCCAGTCAGGGTGCGATGTAACAACGATGAGAAATACAACTTTCCTCTAGTTCCTAAATATTTCCTCCCCGCTCCCACTACCATGACTCGAATTCAACCTTGCAAGTCTGGCTAGACCAGAGGATGTACACTGGTACAGATAGGAACTGAAAATACAGGGAATCCAGGGCGGATGAGCCCTACAGGACCAGTGGTGTGAGTGGCGAAACAGGGAGGGTAAAGGGAGAATGGGTAGGAAAGAGGGAACCGATTACAAGGAACTGTGTGTGACCTCCTCCCTGGGGGACAGACAACCGAAAAGTGGGTGAAGGGAGACGTCGGACAGGGCAAGATATGATAAAATACCAATTTATAAACTATCAAGGGCTCATGAGGGAGGGGGGAGCGGGGAGGGAGGGGAAAAATGAGGGCCTAATGTCGGGGGTTTAAGTGGAGAGAAAATGTTTTGAGAATGATGTACAAATGTGCTTTACACAATTGATGTGTGTATGGATTGCGATAACAGTTGTATGAGCCCCTAATAAAATGTTTAGAAAAAAAAAAAAGAAAAAGAAAATAATAATTTATAATTTATCAGGGGCCTATAAGGGTGGGAAGGTTGGGGGAGGAAAGGAAAAAAAGAGGAGCTGATACCAAGGACTCAAACAGAAAGAAAATATTTTGAAAATGATAAAGGCAACATGTACAAATATGCTTCATACAATTGATGTATGGATCTTATAAGAGCCCCCAATAAAAGATTTATACAAATAAATATATGTCTTCAAGGATCCATATACAAAAGGGCTTCAAAAAGTATACAGACCCAGGGGGACGAACAACAGAAACATGGGTAAAGGGAGACAGTGGTCGGTGTAAGATATGAAAATAATAATGTATACTTTATCAAGGGGTCATGAGGGTGCAGGGGAGGTGGGGGGAAAAGGAGCTAATACCAAGGGCTCAAATAGAAGGTAAATATTTAGAAAGTGATGATGGAAACATATGTACAAATATGCTTGATACAATTGATGTATGGAATAAGAGATGTAAGAGCCCCCAATAAAATGATTTTTTTAAATGTGTAGAAAAATTATATTTTCCACGAACTTTTTGAAGCACCTTCGTAAGTGGAAAGGCCTGACACTAACTTTGGTTTGATCAGAGGGTTTGAATCTGGTTATTTATTGCTAGTAGCACGTTCATCTGGCCCAGTCCTTAAGAAAGAATTCTGTCTCTCAAGACAAAAGTCTGTGAAATGATCGTTTTTGACCCAGTATTCCCACTATGTCATGCAGAAATCATTCAAAGAGGAAAAAAATAAGAGGCAAATTTTTTACAAAGATATTTATAGCTGCAGCTATATATTAGATCAAAAATCTGGAAATAGTCCAAATGGCTGTCTGTGGGGAGAGAGCAGTAAACTAATGCAGCAGAATATACAGCCACCAGATCTGACAAATGTGAGGGCTGCAAAACATTTTGGAAAAGACTATATAGCAAGTCATGGTCAATTTAAAATAAAATCAAATTCATAAAGGTAGCGATGAGGAGACAATGCATAAGATTATATATCTCCATTGAGAACAGCTCAGAAGCTTTAAATAGATGGTGCTTTAAGATATGAGCAATACTTGGTTTTTCAATTATGTCATATTGTTATTCATAGGTTTTTTATTTATCTTACTAATTATATAACCCTAGGTACTTAACTTCTCTAATAGTCAAATTATTTGCCTATGGTATAAGGATAAGATTTCACATAATTGCAATGTTTTAACAACCA